AGAGGGCAGTGTCACTGGCCCTCATATGTGGGATCCGAACCGGGGCCCTCTGGCGTCCCAAGCCAGTTCTTAACCATTGTGCCACTCGGCCGGCCCTTCATGCAACTTTTCACAAGCTTGACACACATTCTTCCCTTTATGGAAGCCAAACAGTAAAATATGGCAAAAATGCACAGTTTGGTCTTCCATCTTCAACTTGTTATAAAATCTCCAAAACTCAATCAAATCGCACAATTTTTTTCAGAATGAAGCTAAAACTGTCGGCTGTCAAATGACATAGCAGTAACATAGATGCGAATGACTGTAGTACTTCCAAAAATGAACTAGTGTCATCTGTTGCAAACGTGCATCATGACTTTTCCGACAACCCAATAGATGTGTGTGGAGGCTGGGAGGCTGGCTATGTGATGCTACCTGATGTCAGCTATACATGAATTCCTTGGGAAATTTATATATATATATATATTAACTTGTGCCATTCACTATTATTAGACTGAAGGAATGTTGTTACTTGGAATCCTCAGATGTAGTGTTGTTGTTTTTTTCAAACCCAAGATATAGAATATGACTATGAATAATTGATAATAAACTTAATTGAGAAGAAACTTCTGGATAGATTTTTTTTTTATTCCTAAAGCTTTCCTTTCAGTCTTATAGTGACCAAAGTGATGAAAAATTCCAACTATGCATGCCCTGCTCAGAGTATCTGAGAACCTACCAATGGGAGTCACCTGAGTTCTTAAGGACCACACGCACAAATGGCATTTTAAGTACAAGCGTCTTGTGTGAAACGTGAGACGGTTGGGCGGCGGTCTGCAGCACCTAGAGTTCAGGGAGACCCAGAAAGCTCACCTTGCCGCCGTCTCCTGTTGTGTTTGTCACAGCCTTGCCCCTCTTCTTCTTGAAGATGGAAAAGATGCTGGTGGGCTGCTTTCTGCTGATCCTTGGACAGAGCCTCCTCCTCCCTGCTGAGGCCAGAGAGTGGCCACCCTCGAGGTCCATCTCCAGAGGGAGACACCCTAGGACCCACCCTCAGACGGCCCTCCTGGGTGAGTGATGGCAGTACCACCTACAGAAGCATGCTAGAAGGGGTGGTTATGGGTGGACCTCCAAGCCACGGGATGGACAACAGTCGGGGAAGCTCCCCTGTCCCTGGGTTCCCTGGTGGGTGTGCTGAGGGAGAGGGAATCTCACTGGCAATGAGCATATTCTGAGCAGATGTGGTTGTACATGGCTTTCAAAATAAAATGAAATCTCTGTTATTTAAAAGCCTTCCATTTAATTGGAGGCTCATGACTTTTTTCCAATATGCAAGGACAAGATTTTCTATCTGAAAAGGTCCTAGTTGGACTTTTCTGGACAAGGGTATTATGAGAATTTTTTATGGAATTTGTTCTCCTAATCTGTGTTAATAACATTCCCCTGCATGGCAGCATGGGAAACAAACAGGGGGCCTTGTGGAAAGCAGAAGTCAGCACAGAAGAGAAGTGGGGACATCATGAGCTGAATTAGGACATTAGCAATGGAAAATGTCAGGGAACTGTTTCTCTGATACAGTGAACATATTTTCTTCAGGTGAATTTTTTTTTTCTTTCTTGGAGGGTAAGGAAAAGTCATGAAAAAAACACAAAATGTAGATAAATTATCCTGGTGGCAAATATGGGCTCTGGTATGCCTAGGATATGGGGGTAATGGGAAGGTTGGCCAGTGGAAGAGAATGGATTTTGGTATAGACATGGGTTCAAGTTCTGGCCTGGTACTTAACACATGTATACATTTAGGCAGCGTGATCTCTCTGAAGCTCAATTTCCTTATCCCTAAAATGGGAATGTTAATGCTGACCTTGGAGTATTATTTGAGGAGAAAGTGGTGTAATATATGAAAATTGTAGGTATGCAATGAATGATAGCTATCATTCAATGTTGTTGGCCAGCTGCAAGAAATCTGACCATCTATGAAGACCATTGAGAGAAATGTTCAGTGGCCTGGTGGCCTCAGCATCCAAAATTACAATCAGAGACCAAAGGGACCCAAACAGCCCTGTTTTAAGAGGTCATAACCTTTACTGACGTTAACCTAAACAATGACCCCATGATACTGGGCCATTCATGTCTTTAGTCTCTTGAGAATCTCTGTTTTCACAGTGATGTAGACATAAGACTTCTGCAACTGTGAAAAGTACTGGGGAATGTTTATTACGCTGATTAAAGGGTTTTTTAAAAACAAATTTCAAGATGATAAATGTGTATAAATATATATAGAGAGAGAACTGGAAATACCTGATTCCTAGATCAGCAGCAATGATTGCACAGTTGGGTTTCTGATGGGACTGCTTTCAGAACAAACCACCACATATTTAGTCAGAAAAGCATATCACATACTTAGTCAGAAAAGCATATTCCTTCTCTTGACTCAAAATCAATCTCTCTCCCTCTCTCTCTCTTTCTCGCTTTCACATACAAAAACACACATACCAGGGCCTTTCCCCAGTTGGCAGCATCCGCTGCCCTCCTCCTTGGCCCTAAGCTCAGGCCCTGAAGTGGAAGCGTCTGAGGTAAGAGATAGAAAGACGCCTATTTTGCCAAAAGCTTAAGGCCCACATTCAGTACTTCCTCCTGTTTCTTATTTTGCCAGAGAATGTTTCAGGGACAAAGAGTAGGATGGAACATGGCACATGTCCCTATCCTGCGGAGTGGCAAGTGGCTGCTCCCAGAAGTGCTGGAGGGCTGTTTGACTTATGAACATGGCTGAGTGAGTGAGAATCATGAAGTCGGAAGGCAAACACCACAACCTTGGCCTGGATTCTCAAGAGCAATCTGCTTTTGGTCTTACTTTTGAACAAACATGGAGAAGCCACATTCGTTATAGTCCTTGCCCTGAGTTTGTACAACTTTCTCTTCATCCTTAGAATATGGTGTCTTGTGTTTTGTGGGTGTTTGCTTTTATTGGCCTTTTGTTTTCTATGTTCAGAACATTGCCTAGGCCACGTTGAACTTCATGGTGGCAAACCATTTTGGCTGTATTTATGGTGTCCAGCGGCATGATGTATTTCACTAGTTACTTCTCTGCAAGGGTGTCTGTGAAAGTTTAAGAGTAGAAACAGAATTGTTTCTTAGTTTATTTTTTTGTTTCAGTTTTCTGATTAAAAAAATGTTTATATTTTATGTCTAAATTCAGGTCAGAGTCCCAGTAACAACTTGAACCAATTAAAAAAAATAATGCATGTATTTATCCGCCTCTCCTATGAGGATTGCAGGCTGCTCAGGCAGCAGCCTGTGATGTGTGTGTCCATGAGGGCTTATCTCTTACTTCATTCTTTTTATCTTGAATTTCTGCTCAGTTCCAGACACGGGTGGGGGGGATCTAAGAAGAACAACCACCATTAAGAAGTGCACATGTAGTGGAGGGAGACAGACATGTAAAAAATCATTAATTTGGTGAAATCCGTACACAACAGTAGAGGCATAGCAAAGTTACAGTCCACTCTGCCTGCTGTAGGTGCAGCATAAGGCAGTAGTTCTCAAACTTTTTGGTCTCAGGACTCTTTTCCACTAAAAAATTATTGAGGATCCCAAAGAACTTTTGTTTATGTGAGTTAGTTAGATTAATCAAGATTTACTGAATGAGAAACAGAAACAGAGAACTTCAAAAAATATTTATTAATTAATTTTAAAATAACAAGAATAAACTCATAACCTATAATGTAAATAAAATATTTGTCTAAAAATCAGTATTTTCTAAATTTAAAAAAATAGTGAGAAGAATGGCACTGTTTAAAAAATTTGTAAATCTGTTTAATGTCTGGCTTAATCGAAGACAGCTGGCTTCTCATTTTCCATCCATTTATCTGTCATGAAGTATTGTTTTGGTTGGATTACATGAAGATAATATGGCCTCACACAGATATGTAGTCAGAAAAAGGAGGAGCATTTTAATACTATTCATATGATTGTGGATATTCTTGTTTGATACAACTGTTGACATAAGAAACGTTCAAACCTGTAGAGAAGTTTAATGAGTTTATTTGAGCTAAACTGACAACAAATGCTGGGACGCAAAATCCCAATGGATTGAGAAAATGCTCTAGAAAATGGTGGTTTGCGATTTATTTTATACATTAGAATCAAAGGAGGAGGATTATATAAAATCCATTGGTGGTAGATTAAGGGAATGGGAGAAAGCAGGGAAATCGCTGGGATTGTATAAAAAGTAAATTGGAGAGACAGATACTTCTTTTACATTGGTGGGTACAGGATAGTTAATAGTTAGCATTTTACTGCACATAGAGATGGTAATGGAGGACAAGAAGAACAATGAGGGGTTCTTTGGTTTCCTGCTCGGTGGGAGGGTTGTGCCCCCAGGGGTCCAGAAAAAGGGTATGTTATCTTAGATGCAAAAAGACAATAGACAAGCTCACTTAAAGTAAAGATTGACCTTTGCCAGGGAAGCTACAGGCCAAGGATGTGACTACCTGCCAAGGCCCGCTTTTATTATAGTTAGAAATTTTTATGTTGACCAGCGGTTCTCTACCTTCCTAATGCCGCGACTCCTTAATACAGTTCCTCATGTTGTGGTGACCCCAACCATAAAATTATTTTCGTTGCTACTGTATAACTGTAATTTTGCTACTGTTATGAATCATAATGTAAGTATCTTTTTGTTTTCCGATGGTTTTAGGCGACCCCTATGAAAGGGTCATTCGGCCCCCAAAGGGGTCGCGACCCACAGGTTGAGAACCGCTGTTTAGACCATCCTATGTGGTTAATTTCAGTCTCTGAGTTTGTAGGGCCTGCCATGCAGGCTTCCCCTGAGCTTGTCAGGTTTAGTATGTGGCCCCTTTTTCGTCTGCACAACACCAAAACTCTACAAATACTAGTTTCTTAAAGGTTAATTGCACTGTGGAATCTATTGTAAAAACCACATTAAACTTTTCTTTTTTAAAAAAGATTTTATCGGGGAACTGGGGAAGGGGAACAGTGTTGGGGAATCGGGGAAGGGGAACAGACAAGTTGCTGTCCTTCTATTCTTCAGTCTAGTTGTGGAGGACACCACTTCATTGGCCCATGTTGGTATTATCCTTGCGCTCTTCCCGGGTGAGGCAGTTGCTTGCTGGCCATTAGATGGCCGCTCATGAAAGCTCATACCCGCTGCTGGCCAGCCTCACTGTAGCCTACACTGTTGCCGGCGACTCATGGCAGCCCAGCTCCAGGTTGAGCTGTTGTTCACCATCTTAGCTGTAGAGGGCGTAGCGTCACTGGCCCTCATGTGGGATCTGAACCAGGGCCCTGCTGCTCAGAGCTGGCTTCCCAAGCCAACTCTTAACCAACGCACCACTCAGCTGGTCCCCACATTAAACTCTTCATACCTTATAAGCTCATGAGAGAATGAGAGTATAAAAATCAAACATTATTGACATGAAAATAGTTCAACCTCATGGACACTCTGAAGGGGGTCTCAGGGACCCCTAGGGGTCTCCAAAGCACACTTTGAAACAGCTGATTTAGGGAAGCTTCCTGGTGAAGGTTGTGACCATGTGGGGCCCTGAGAGGTGAAGGGGCAGGAGAGGAGTGAGGATGGAGCATGGAGGTGGGACCTGGTCGTGTCATTGGGACCACCATGTCTGCAAGGTGGGTGGTCTGAACTGGAGACAAGCCTGGAGGAGGCAGGGACCTTATTGAAACCAAAAGGCAACTGAGTCGGGCTTGTGCTGCCTATGCCGCTCAGCCAATAGACTGACATAGGAGTCGGGCTATAGGATAAGCATTTATTGTCAGAGCACCAGTGATCTGAGAAGGCAGCAGGTTAACACCTTCAAAACCTGCCTTAACATTCCCAAACCAGTTTAGGGTATTTAAGGAAAAATCTGGGCGTTCCTCCAAAGGATGGTTCCAGGAGTCTGCTTGGTGCCTTCCCTCAGGGGTCTGTATGGAGCCTTTCCTCTGGCAATGTGGTTCTCTGGTGGTGTCAGCAACCCAGGAACAATGATGGGAGTAGCCTGGAAAGAATGCTAGACCATGGAGATTGTGATCACGAAGCCTAAGGGTATTAA